CTGAACTCCTCCTGGAATGAAGTGAAGCTGCAGGGAAAGACTCCCATCTCTGCCAGAGACTAGGGCAACCCCAGTCTGGAGAAGGCATGGGAGGCAGCTGCTCCTACCCCACCTGTAGACTGGGAGGGGATGGGAGGAGCAGTCACCAGGTGCTCCCAGCCTGCTTCTCACTCCAGAGTCTCCAGTGTGAAAAGCAGGCAGGAGGCTTTGTCTCACTGCTCCCTTGACTCATCTCCGGGGCACCGGGAAATCAAGCAGATGGAGTAGCACTGTAGGTTCCCTGCCTGTTTCTCACTTTGGAGTCCCTGGAGTGAAAAGCTGGCAGGGGGGTTGCCCTGCTGCTCCTTCCACGCTGCTCGCTGAGACTAGGAGCAGAGCAAAGGAGCAGCTGCTCGCTGTTCCCGATCTGTTCCCCAGTCTGTGGGCTTTGTGTCACAGTTCCCTTCCCTTGCTTGACCAGTCCAGGCAGCAACCACTGCTCCCAGCTCTTCCTCAAGCCCCAGTCTTGGGAAGGAGTGGAGAGCAGGAGAGAGAGGGCGACTGCAGGCTAAATGCCTGTATAGTTCCTCTCCTGGAAAAGTTTCTACCAGTTCCACTGGTGGAAATGAATATCTGTTTATAACCAAAGACACCTTGATAATGAAAAGTGGCTGCATTTTTATAATCAAATGTGTTTTGGAACTATTTCTTTTTTCCTTTGGCATTTGCCTCAGAATAGGGCAGGACAATCCATTACAGTGTTGTTCATAGTCAAATCCACTCTAGGGCTAGGTACAGACATTCAAAAAGCCCAAGATGGAATTGATCTGAGTTGCACGGTTTTCTGTAAGCGACGTAGTTTAGATCAGTAGCAAACGGTACACACATTTGCCCTTTGGTGAGAGGGCGAATCTTAGACTGACTTTTGCCATTTTTCAGCCAGTCTATGTGAGTTGAACTTCTGTTCTGTTATCTGTATAGACTGGTTTCCAAACAGTTATACTGGTAAAAGTGTGATGTCTGTACCTGACTTCAGGGTAGGTCTCGGCATTACTGAGTTGGGTTTCATACTTCATTAATATTCATCTACTTAAAAACTGCTGTTTCCAATGGGATTTCAGAGAAAGCTATTAAGAAATATCAATCTTCAATTTATAAAAGTATGTTCTTGCATTTGGAGGCCAATTGACAGCCTGTCTTGAGAACCCAGAACTTGCTGAGACCTGCACCAGGCTGAGTTGGAAAGCCCTTGGCACCTGTTCACAACGCAGCTCACTGGAGGTCTGAAGTCTGACTTAGCTAAGCACCCTCCAGTGCCTTAAGGCATTCATGGTGTTGGTTTTAGCAGGAGAAAGGCAGTATCATACACTGACATCTCAGTAGATGGGTGGTTATGGAAAGAAATGTTGTTCATCAACTTTAAAACTGAACAAAAACACTGACAGAAGCCTAGGATACTGGATGCATCTCTTTCTACAGAACAGTCTTTGAGACGAAATAGAGGGGCAAGTAGAAAGGAAGGTGTATTGAGGAAATTAGAAGAAGAATAAGCACAAAGAAATATGAGTGGGGAGCTGAAGAGGAGCTAGAGAAAGGGGGTGGAAATGGAGGAGGGGAGTAAGGCTGGATCCCTTTGTTGCACAGAATTAAAAAGAGCAATAATTACATGTTGGCTTCTAGCAGCTGCAAAAACACTTGGGGTTAGTTTGCCTGTTTTTTAGTTTAATGCTATCCCAAGCCTCTTACCAACTTAAAAGAGAATTTCAGCCTTGTAATTCAGGTATATCATATTTCTGCAGTTTCTGGTACATACAGGTTACTGACTAAAAACTATCATTAGAATCATAGAAAATTAGGGTTGGAAAGGACCTCAGGAGGTCATGTAGTCCAACCCCCTGCTCAAAGCAGGACCATCCCCAACTAAACCATCCCAGCCAAAGCATTGTCTACCCTGGTCTTAAAAACCCCTAACAATGGAAATTCCACAGCCGCTCTACCTTTCTAGTGAGAAAGTTTCCCCTAATATCTAACCTAAACTTCCCTTGCTGCAACTACAGACCATTGCTCCTTGTTCTGTCATCCACCACGACTGAGAACAGTCCAGCTCCATCCTCTTTGGAGGTAGTTCAAGGCTGCTACTAAATCCTCCCTCAGCCTTCTCTTCTCCAGACTAAATAAGCCCAGTTCCCTCAGCCTCTCATAAATCATGTGCTGCAACCCCCTAACCATTTTCATTGCCCTCCGCTGGACTCTCTCTAGTTTGTCCACATCCTTTCTGTAGTGGGGGCCCCAAAACTGGACCCACTACTCCAGATGTGGTTTCACCAATGCTGAATAGAGGGGAATAATCACTTCCCTTGATCTGCTGGCAACACTCCTACACCAATGCAGCCCAGTATGCCGTTAGCCTTCTTGGCAACAAGGGCACACTGCTGGCTCATATTCAACTTATTATCCACTGTAACTCCCAGGTCCTTTTCTGCAGAGCTGCTGCTCAGCCAGTTGGTCCCCAGCCTATACCGAGGCATTATAAACTTCTCTTTTAACGGTACCATGTTCAATGAGCATATGGTCTGTCTTACTGCACAAGGGCCGAAGAGCCATATCGTAGATGATCACACCTTAAAACTAAATCCCCACTTATGCTATAAAATCAATCATGGTTTGGCGCTTGATTATGATATTCCAGTAGTAGTAAAACAAGAGCTACCTTGCCTTTAGTTACTGCATGTATAGGCACAAATGTAACTGATAGGGGTCATATTGTGTTATAATTGTTTCCCACAGTATACTTGACTTTGTTATTTAGCTTGGATCTACATTTGCTTTCTCTACTGCTTCTGAGGATATTGTCTAAGAGTTTTACTCAAGAATTTGTAGTCTCTGGTCATCGGCCTGTTCTGCCACAGCTTAGAATGGCTGTATCATGCTCTGCTAGCTAACCATCACTAGTCATCAATCCAACAGCATCTTCTTCTGCTTAATACATTTCTTAATAAATGCTTAATTTACATAATTGACATGGGAGTTGTATGTAAGCATACGGAGCCATAAATTGTATTTGAATGCAGCTATTAATGCTGTGAATTAGGTTACGTTCCGAAAAGCAGATCAAAGGCTAGAATGGATATAAATGTGAAGCTATCTGAATGGGTGCAAATTAGTGATCACGAAGCAGAAAGAGAAAGCATTCTAAAATGTTTCTGAACCCAGAGTGATGGAAATATTCGTATTAGCTAACGCTGCCTTTTGCTACAACAACAGTGTAAGGTTGAAAACTTGGTAAGAATGCTTTTTGATTGGGATTGTATTTACTGCAAAATAAAATCAACTAGACATAGTGTTTACACACGTGAAATACTTATAGGAAAGCCTACTGATATGGTTGTGCATTGTTGTGTATCCAGATGTTCTTCAGGGCTTAGCGTAGCAAATGTTCTTTCGATGCTTTTAACTGTCAATACTAACATCTGCCTCGGCATTTCTTTAAGGCATAGTTTTAACATTACTTACAGTTTCTGACTCTTCATCTATGTGCCATTAGTATTTTCTAATAAAATGTCATTCAGAAACATGAAGATTTAGCCCTCTGTTTAATCCCTTTTGGGAATATGGAGGAGAAGCCTAATTGATGGAGGAAGTCAGATGACAAGTTGCTGAATTATGGTACAGTCACTTGTTGGGACCCTTTACATTGTAGGGGGTTTATTCTTGGTGCATAAAAAATTGTTTGGGGTTCATACTTTTCGTAAAAGGGAATTATTTTTGTACACTTAACCAAATTTAAAGATGCCAACTTACATTTTTTAACTCCTGCAGTTTAAATATAGCTTTAATGTTTTAACACAAATTTTGCAGTGTTAATTTGTAGTGTAGACTATGATGCCTGCGAATACTGTGGCTGAAGGAGAATTCAAATGAGAGATTTTGTTTGCAAGTGTTCCTTATTTCATGCATTCGTGTTTTTCCCAATGAAACTATTGTAAGGACTTAATCACATATATTTATGCAGACAGGAGAAAACTAATTGCTTTGATATGTGCATAAACATTAGTTGAGTCAGCAGACATTCATTAATACTACAACCGATTGCTCTGTCTATTGGACAAGTCCCTATCAAAAAAAAGGTTCTGAACTTTTGTGTATTAGAAGGCAGTTGCACAAAACCAATATTACTTTTTCTCTTGCTACTGCAGAAGGCATTTTTAAACCCCTGCCCCCAAAGCAACTTTTAAAAAGCAGTTAAAACTGCATAGTTTTCAAAAGTATGTGTCTATGTTAGATTATTTATTTAAATTGTAGGTTATTTGGAGCAAGGACGATTAGCATGACTAGCAAAGTGGCCCTCTCTGCACCCAACTATCTCACTCAAAAGCAATTCCTTTTTAATAAGAATTTCACTGCTTCCGTCTCTGGCCGCTCTGAATGACTCTAAGTGATTTTCTGTTAGCATTTATGCTGTTACTATGTATCAAGAAACAGAAAGAATACTACCAGAAAGCAGGATTTACCATGAATTTGGAACAGCAAAAGTGTATGAGCTGACAATATGATCTATTTCTTTTCCACTAAGTCAAACAGTTATAATAAAATGCAGACTTGACAGTATATTACTGGTACACAAGCTGGTCTACAGACAAGCAGTATCCTCTTATTCTTAGTGTTGGTTTCAAGATGCAAAATTCTCAGGTGAATAGGGATTAAAACACCCCACACAGTTCAGAAGTATTCAGATCCTTGGGGTTTGATTCAAGTTCATCTCTTATTTCTGTAAACCTAATTGGCTTGCAAATTTAATGCAGAAGATTTCCTCCACTAACAATCCCACTGTGTATTCTTTTGAGGAAAATGGGGCCAAAGGGTTTTATTGGACTAGTAAATTTCTCCTAATTTATTCAAATTCTCACATACTCAGGTACTGAGGTCAGAGCATAAATCTAACCTTTGTCCTAACCATGAACATGTATTTATTTTTCCTTGACAACCATGCCAATTTCAAATGTTCACTTATGTCTTTTCAGGTCAGGATCGCAGTGAAGCCACTTTAATAAAGAGGTTTAAAGGTGACGGTGTCCGATACAAAGCAAAACTGATTGGGATAGATGAGGTTTCTGCAGCACGAGGAGACAAGTTATGTCAAGATTCCATGATGAAACTCAAGGTGCAGTGTAACTTTTAATATTTAATATTGCAGAATCAGAGAGAGAATTTTAATTTGAATTTTATTCCTCCTTTCATGACACTGGGATGTCAAATTCAATTCTGTGCTATCCCTGAAATTTTCAAGATATATAAAAATTTGGTCAAGTCTGTATAAATTCCCAACTTCAGTTTTATGTCAGCATAACTCCAGTGATTTCAGTAGTTAATCTTGATGAACAACACCATTGTGTACAGCAGGACTTTGTTTAGAAAGCCAACGTTGAATATCATGACTAAATAATTTTGTTACTTGAAAATGGTTGGAGACAAAAAAAAGATCTGATGCATGAATGTGAGAGTAATATTTAGTCACATTATTTTTTTCTTACTAGATGTGACTTGTAAACTCTGATCTTTCCTTTCTAGAAGGTTTAAGTCTTGTCCCTAGCAACTGGATATGCTAAAGATATAAAATGAATGAGTTTACTTTGAAATTCCAGACAGCAAACTCGTAAGATGGTTTGGTAGCAATAAATCTCTCTAATAGATATAATTTATAAATATAGCAGTTCAGTGTTTCATATTCTTTATTTAGAGTCCAAGAGAATGCAGGTTTGAAGAATTCGGTTTGCAGGAGACTTAATACAGTTTGTCTTCGGTGCAAATTTAAGTTTCAGATTCAAAATGACACCTTAATGGTTATTTGATGGCATGTGTAAAATGAGTTAGTTTTATGCCTCCCCAAAACCATCATCATGATTGGCAACAGTTGGCACCCATATACACAGTCTGGGTTTTAACTTCTGCTGAGTTCCCAGCTGGTCTTTGCCAAACACTAGAGCGACCAGTACCTTGTGCTGGTAATAGACCTAGGAAGCAACAAGGTCTTGCATAGCAAAATGAAGAACTGGGTTGTTGAACAGTGATGATTTGGGGGTGCTGTGAAAGAAGGGCATGATAAATAGCAGAAGAGTTTCAAACGTTTGGGGATGGAGAGGATGAAGCAGCAACAAGAGGAGACCTGAAGTGGGCTGGAAGCTGTCAAGGTCAGGAGGGGTACTTATGAGGAGCATAGAAGTTAGGTTTTTAAGGAAGTTGCTAGGGTGCATCTCTCTGAGTCATTTCTCACACTCATTGAGCAGCAAGAAGAGGAAATTAGTGGACCCGTAAGTGCGATTCTTTTTCCACCTTGGGCACTGTGAGAGGGTTTATGGTGAGTGTTAAGCAGGAGCGATGGGGAGTGAGTATTGGGAACGCTGGAAATTTGTTTTGGTGGGAAGTTAAGTGTTGTTCAGTTATTGAGCATTTGGCTGTTGAAGATCTAATATGGTTCCAACAAAGAACACGCTCAGAGATTTTGAATCCAGCAAAGATCTTCTACTTAGCTTCCTTATTTCAGTCTTCTTCCCAAAACCCTACTAAACATAACTATTCAATAATATCAATTGTAACCAATCAATAATATGGATTCTTTTTTTTCAGCCATTTTCAAGTAACAAAATTATTCAATGTTATGATATTCAGTGTTGGCTTTCTAAACAAAGTCCTGCTGTACACAATGGTGGTGTTAATCAACATTAACTACTGAAATCACTAGAGTTATGCTGACATAAAACTGGAGTTGGGAATTTACACACCAGATGAAAAAGCTAACCTCTTTAACAATTTCTTTGCCTCCATCTTTATGAGCAGGAACCACCCCCTGGGGAAGCACTGCCAGGCCCAGGGTCAGTGAGGACCTAGTCAGGGAACTTCTGGTGGGACTGGATGTGTTCAAATCAGCAGGTCCTGATGATCTCCACCCCAGAGTACTGAGGGAATTAGCAGAGGTCATTGCAGGACGCCTGGCACACTCGTGGTGCTCTGGTGAGATGCTGGACGACTGGAAAAGGGCCAGTGTGGTCCCCATTTTCAGAAGAGGGAGGAAGGAGAACCCAGGAAACTACAGGCCCATTAGTCTTACCTCAGTTCTGGGGAAGCTCTTTGAGAAAATTATCCAGGAGCACATCTGCGAGGGACCAACAGCGGGCATTATACTTAGGGGCAATAAACATGGGTTCATTTGAGGCAGGTCCTGTCAGACCAACCTGGTGGCCTTCTACGACCAGGTCACAAAATCCTTAGATGCAGGTGTCTCAGTGGACGTAGTCTTTCTGGCCTTTAGGAAGGCCTTCAACGCTGTCTCACCCCATTTTCATTAAAAAATGAGGTGACTGCAGCATCAGTGCCTACACAGTCAGCTGGGTCACAAGTTGGCTGGAGGGCCGCACCCAGAGAGCGGTGGTGGATGGGTCTTTTTCATCCTGGACAGATGTGGGCAGTGGGGTCCCCCAGGGTTCTGTCCTCAGGCCCACACTGTTCAACATCTTCCTTAGTGACATGGACGAGGGGGTGAAAAGCATCTTGTTCAAATTTGCAGATGACACTAAGATGTGGGGAGAAGTGGGCATGATGGAGGAGAGGGACAGGCTGCAACTAGATCTAGACAGGTTAGGGGGTGGGTAGATGAGAATAGGATGGGTTTCAGTACCGACAAGTGCAAGGTATTGCACTTAGGGAGGAAGAACCAGCACCATACCTACAGGCTGGGGAACTCCCTTCTCGTCAGTGCAGAGCAGAAAAGGATCTTGGTGTCATTATAGACTCCAAGATGAACATGGGCCGGCAGTGTAGGGATGCAGTCAGGAAGGCTAACCGCACCTTGTCACGCGTCCACAGATGCATATCAAGCGGGTCCAAGGAGATGATCCTCCGCCTCTGTGCAGCACTGGTCAGGCTGCAGTTGGAGTACTGCGTCCAGTTCTGGGTGCTGCACTTCAGGAGGGATGTGGACAGCATGGCGAGGAGGGCCTCCCGCATTATCAGGGGGCAGTGGGGCAGGCCCTATAAGGGGAGGCTATGGGACCTGATCCAGTTCAGCCTCCACAAAAGAAGGCTGAGAAGGGATCTGGTGGCCATCTACAAATTGGCCAAGGGGAACCAGCAGGCTATGGTAGAGTCCCTGTTCCCCCGAGCACTACTGGGAGTAACAAGAAATAACAGCCATAAGTAGATTCAGGCTAGATGTCAGGAGGCGCTACTTCACAATCAGGGTGGCTAGGATCTGGAACCAAGTTCCAAGGAAAGTGGTGCTCACTCCTACCCTGGGGGGTCTTCAAAAGGAAATAATCACCTACCTGGGGTTGTTTGGCCCCAGCACTCTTTCCTGCCCATAGCAGGAGGTCAGACATGATGATCTGCTGAGGTGCCTTCCAAACCTACCAACTATGAAACTATGATTTGTTGGGTGGCAAATTTTTGGTTTTCATAGACAAAAACCCCAAGAAATAGTGCACACTATGTGCTAGGTTTGAAAGCACTCAATGTAGACTAAGGCCCCACCCTGAAAGGCTTTATAGATGAGGCAGACAGCATGCAGACCAGGGAAAAGAGATTGTTGGTGATGTAAAGCAGCATGAATGAACAGTGGTGTACAACACACCTCTCATGGTTCAGCAATTTATTTTTTTTTCCTTATGAATAATTTAAAAGAAAGGTATGAGCATTTTGTAATGGGAAGGAATTAATCCATTTTAAAAGGAGGGTCCTTAATTTCTCAAAACAGCATCTGCCACAAAATTCTAATCTTATTCATCTGTCTGTGGTCCCTTTTCCATTCATTCCTTGGTTCCATCTGCCGACGAGCGATTTGGGAGACGTATCGAGGTTATGAAGCTAGGCTGGCTTTTTTCTCTGTCTCTCATAGGAGTACCATTTCCATATCTCCATGATGCTTGATGCCTGTTAGCATAATGGAGAGACTTGCCTAAATAACGTTGTGAGATGACTAGAGCTATCAAGAACAGGTGGCCTCACAAATTCATATACTTGTCTTTAGAGCTAGTACTGTGAGCTTTTACCATTTTCTGTGAGGAAATAATTCCTCTTCATTTTAATATTCATGTCCTTCTGTTGAAATGTTACCTTCCACATTTTGGTCAAGTTCCATTAGAGGCAGCTTGTTCTTATGATCTGTGGGGAACTTGGGAACTAGCAACTCCTGAATGTTAACACTGGTTCCGGCATTAATTTGCTGTATGGCATTGGATAAGTCACTGAAACTTTCCATGTCCCACTTCCCTATATGTAAAACGGGGATACAAATACTTACTGGTGTGACTATTATCAATTGTTTAATGTTTGCAAAGCATTTTGAAGCAGCAGACAGTGACCAGATCTCAAAAAAATCATTGAAGAGCACGTTGGGTAGAAGTTAGGTGTCTGAGTGATCCACAAGACCCCTGCCAGTATAAGGGTCTGTAAGTACCTTGCATCCTGCTATTGCACATGTCCACAACATCTGCCATCTTGGCTGAGCAACACATCTTGGCACCTATCTCTGCCAGCATCTATTTGGGGTTCACAAAGCAGGCACACCAATACTGAAGTCTTCTGAAGGGCCCAATCTGCTAAACATGCTTTAGGTGTCAGAGAAAATACTTGCACTAAGTGGAGAAAAAAGATTGCTTATCCTGTATATATAATCTGTACACAATAACCTAGTGCAGAGGTTGTCAACTGGGGGTACTTGGGACGGCCCCAGAGGATACGCATGGTGGTGCAGGGATGCAGCAGCAGCACGGAGTGCTGAATGGTGCTGGCAGCCCTGTGTGAGCTCCCCAACCCCCTACTGCTGCCATTCACCACTCAGCACCACTGCCACATGCTGCTTTCCTGCCTCCCGCTATTGCCATTCACCGCTCTGCGCTGCTGCTTCCTCATGACGCTGTGTGCTGCCGACTGCGTCCAGCCGGTTGTCCCCCCCGGTCTGGAAGGGGGTATGCTCCAGAAGGGGTACCTACCAGAAGAGCTACACTCCTTTAAAAAGGGTGAAAACCACTGATCTAGTAGTTTGAAGACTTGCCCAGGAAGTGAGAAGCTGGGTTTATAGACCCTCATATATCACCTCCCATAGGACTATACTGTTCCACCAGGATCAAGATTACATTTAGATTGTGGACACACTTCACCCCTTCTAAT